CTAGAAAGAAGCCACTACTGCCAGAGGGAGTAAAGAAGGGGTTCTAGAGGACATGGAAATAGGTTGTTTCCTAAAAGATGGGTAAAATTTGATGTGAGAAATAAGGGGTAAGGATATTCAAAATGAAAGGTAAAGCATGAACAATTCAGAAAAGACCTTGGCATGTCCATGAGACTGTGAAAGCATCAACGTGGATGGAGTAGAAGGTGCCTTTGGCTCACTCTAGCAGCGGTTCTCAACCTGTGGGTTGCGAACAATGAAAATACATCCTGCATATCAGATATTTACATTACGATTCATAACAGTAGCAACATTACAGTTATGAAGTAGCAACGAAAATAATTTTATGGTTGGGGGTCACCACAGCATGAGGAGCTGTATTAAAGGGTTGTGGCACTAGGAAGGTTGAGGACCACTGCCTAGGGCAAAAGTTAGAAATGCATGTTTAGGTGAATTGAAATGCCTCCCAAGTTCAGGCAGGTAATTAAATGAGTGAAGCAGCCTGGGCATCTACTGAGAGGGAGTGGAAGAAAGCTATGGCCCAGGCTCAACAGAAAGGAAGACATCACTAAACTCCAGCCAGTTCCACAGTGAACTCTGCCCCTAGTGTGGCCACACTTTCCCATTTGTTACAATACGCCACTGACCTGGATTTTAACACGTGAGTGTGTAAATTTAATTCTTATGACACAACATGGAATGATGATGGACAAAACTAGATACATAAAAATATTTGAGTCATACTGAATCATATCTAGTATGTGAATCACTCATTTTCAACCTCTGCTGGACTGTAGAGAGCAAAGACTGCTAGAATTACCATAAAGCCTGCGTGGCTTATCCGATAGCCATTTAAGGTTACAGAATGGAGATGCAACAGAAAGTGGTATGCTTTCCTCAGGCTATAAATTCAGAATATTTGTATGACAAAAATAATAAGTGAAAGAGAGTTGATTTGAATTATTGACTATTACAGTTTTATAAATTATTTTTAAATGAAATTCATCTTAAAGTTCTATTATCTGTTGTTTAAACTGGTTGCAGGAAAATTTTACAACAAAATTTAAAAAATATGTGTTGGCTATAAATTCTTTTCAACAGTCTCATTTGCCTTTAAAAAAAATACAACGATATGACTCTTCTCTACCTAATAGGAAGAGGATTCTGGGTATATACTTTCCAGATGGACCTAAATGAGCACTTGATGAATGACCTTTTATTTGCCACTACTACCAGCTGCCAATGGTGGATGCAACTAGGATGTCTTGGTCAGGTTCATTTATGTGCGTGTTCTGTTTTGGTCCACAAGCCTGGCTGACATTGAAACCAGGCGGGGTTTGAAGGTTTGCAACAGATGTTTTTGTGCCTACTAATTTCTGAATTTGATAGAGTCTATAAATCACTCACAAAAAATACTGTGTAAGTCCACTATTGGTTTAGGTTTTTCCCCAACCTAATGAGACAAAACCTGAAATTGATGTTAAGAATATAGCTTCTAGCCCTAGCTGGTTTGGCTCAGTGGATAGAGTGTCGGCCTGTCAACTGAAGGGTCCTGGGTTCAATTCCAGTCAAGGGCACATGCCTGGGTTGCAGGTTTGATCCCCAGTAGGGGATGTGCAGGAGGCAGTCAATCAATAATCCTCGCTCATCATTGATGTTTTTATCTCTCATTCCCTCTCCCTTCCTCTCTGAAATCAATAAAGACATATTTTTTAAAAAAAGAGTACAGCTTCTGGGGTAGGGGCTAAAATGCAGCATCTAAGCCTTCACACTGCAATCAAGTAGTTTTGTTATTTAACAAAAAAGCCAATATATTCTCTCTCTCCTATCAGGAATTCCTAACAGGTGCAAGAGCTTAGTATCAGCGAAGAATTAGGTGGAATAGAGAATTTCACATGGAGTTTACAATATTATGCTTCTGTCTGAATGAAATTCAGCATTCCAGATGTTGCCTACATTTCACTTAAAACCAACTGCTATGATTTATGAACAATAAAAATTCCTGAAATGTAACAGGGCAACTCTGCTTCCTAATGCTGAGAGAACTCTTAGAAGATTATCACATTCTGAAAACGTGCTAATGAGCCACAAAGTCTGATTAAAATCTAAGGTGCAATATTCCAAAAATATTCCTGGTGGTTTAGATAAGTAAGGCTCAGTTTTCACAGTGGATGACAGTACTTTCTGACAGATTCTGCAAAGATAAGGAGGTCTGAGTAGTTAAGCCAGTTCACAATAGCTTCTTATTAAGTTATTTTCAGGAAGCAGGGTAAGACAAAACGTTAAGACCTGAAAATTGGATAAGAAAAAAAGAAAAAGAAAAATAGTCCACACAGACAGACCATTCAGTTGCTAAAATGTGAATGGTTAAGGCTTCAAAACATAAAAGATGACATTTTAATTACTTAATTTAATGCCTATTTATAAATAATAAGTCCAAGTGTTAAGCAGATGTGAACAAAGATGAACATCTTCTGTTACTTGTGGAGAATAGAATAGTTGGAAGCATGTTTCCTAGACAATATCTCTATGGGAGAGAAAAACGCTCAGATATTGCGGCTTTGTTTAAGATCAAACTGATCTAATTAGCATTTTCATCTACTTTATTGCTCAGAATTCCCTTTAGTGAGGTGTGCTTTTGATAAATTTTAAGGAAAGCTTTTTGGAGAAAAGTTGAATTCAAACATATAAAACAAAAAGGAGAACTTTTCTTCAAAGATAAGCCAAAAATTATCTGAAAACTAAAATAAAAACTGCAAAGTCATAAAACTACATTTCTATATTAATAATAAGATGTGACTTACACAGATTAACCCAGGATTATTTTATATTTATGATATTCCTGAAACAGGACAAAATCTACCAGGGGAATTTTAATTGAAGTTACATGCAAGTAATCAGAGGGAACAATACTTCTCTCTCTTCTGATTGAATGATAATGTGGCCATATTGGTTAGTTATTTTGTAAGGTCATTATAAATCATAGCGATATTGACAAGCTTGTAATTGAATGTATAAATAATTTTCTGATTTCAGATCATAAGAATTGAAGAGAGTGTTCTCACAGCACACTTCAAATTCTGGACACTTTAGGATTTTGTTTCCACTTCTTTGCGTGTGGCAGATATAGACTCAATCCAATGGAGAATAAAACTATACACTCGGCACCTCCTACAGACATTGTGACTATAGGAGTGTGTTCACAAAATGTTACTAATAAGATTACAAACTGAGACAGAGGCAAGATATAGGTAAAATCCTGGTAAACCTTCCTGACTCAACTCCCTGCAAGAAATTTTCACTTGGCTGAAAAGAGAACCCTTGATACAACCATTTTTTTTTTAACTTATAATTTCATTCTCAGAAGGGGAAAAAATCAGGTAATTCTATACTTGATTTTGACCCACAAGAAAGAATTAGTTAAATTTAGTTTACAGAAGTGATGCTGAACTTCCATTACACAATCATCTTTTAAGCAAGTAAATACCTCATTGCCAAAGCAACTACCATGTGCTGTATTTGCAACACCGGTGCCTTGTGTGGAGTTGGTATAGGTATATAACATGAAGTGTTTCAGATGCATATCCTTCATCTTTCCTTAGCCTATCTTTAGTGTTTTATTATTTTATAAATATTTTTAAAAGATAATCAGAAAATTATGTGCCAAGAGTCATCAATAATTTTCTGCATCAACATGCAAGGAAAAGACTAACACTAATCAGTTCTCTACAAACCTTGCTAAGCTTACCTGGTGGTAAACCTCTTCAGAGCTAATCCCAAAGAAGGTCATTCAACTCTTGATATGTTTCTCCTAGTTCATTCATTTCAAGGTGCGTCTTCCTCCCAGCCCCCACCCCCTCCAAAATTACCCATCCTCATCCCTCCCATCCCTTTTACTACACAATGTACATAGTTTTCAAATGTATTATGCCCTTTGCATGTGATAAAGAACAATTCTCTAAGTAGACCGATGATCTATATATATAAAAGCCTAAGCGACCGAGCAACTGAATAACCAAATGACTGGTTCACCAGTCACTATGATGTGCACTGAACACCAGGGGGAAGACGCTCAATGCAGGAGCTGCCCCCCGGTGGTCAGTGCACTCCCACAGCCAACCTACCACGGCCAGCCAACCTCCCGTGGCCCCTCCCCCTGGCTGGCCAACCTCCCACGGCCTGGATGGCCCCAATCACCTGCCAGGGACCCCACCCATTCATGAATTCGGGCACCAGGCCTCTGGTTTAAGTATGAAATCTCAAATTTTATAGGAATCATGGGTACAACATTACCCTAGAGTTAAGAGGTAATTAATAAGAAAAATTCAACATGGGGACTTTACCAATCAGGAGGAGTTCTCACAGGAGAAATTTCTGCCATGATGACTTACAAAAATAGTTAATTGCCTTCATTCCAATTATATCCTTCTAAATCTATATTACTTCAAATGCTTCTGCAAGCTTCTTGGAGAAATGTTAATCGTGGTGCTAAAGCTAAGAATGCCATTTTGCTGAGTGATTCAAAAACATGAGTGCTACAACCCAAACAAAATCCTGATTCCATTCTTTTTAACTAATCAAAGAAGATTATGTGAAAGAAAAAAGTGAAGATAGAGAGCATTTCTCTGGAAGCCGAGGACAAGCTTGCTCTGTCTGAGTAATGTAAACAAAACCCGGGTTACCAATGCGCAGCCAAGAGGGTTTGAAAACGATTATAAACGCATCACATCTGGCCTAAATATATCTCCTAACAGCTCTGGCATTAATAAACATTCATAAGTGGTTATGGCCTGTTCCTTTCCCCAGTAAATATATTTACTTCTCCGAAATAATTTTTAAATCATATAACCACAGGATGCAAGCACCTATGAGATAGTAGAGCAATCTATTTCAAAGCAGCCAACACAGGCTGAGACTCTATTCATGTGTATGAATAATTGGTAACTGCGTAGATTCAACTATTAGGACCAGTACAGCTAATAATGGTGGTTGGGACTTACCAGTACTTGTAAGGAAGTTAACGTTTCTCATCACACCTTCAGTGTAAGCGCCTGGCTCGTAACTGTCCATTTCCCCCGTGACGATGTGAGCCACTCTTGCTGCCCGTCCTCTGATGGCACCGGCAGCTCGGTCTAAATTATCAGCATCCTGGTCTCTCAGGGCTATGATACATTTGTTGATATCTTCTAAGATGTGGCTCTCTGTAAGGAAACAGATCAAAATAATTTTGTCAGTCTTTTTTTATCACACAAATCTAGCATATTATAACTTAACTTCTGATTTCAGATGTGATGCATGTTGGGAATGGAGGACAGCGACAATAGGGAAGGAAAAATACAGACATGATTTTGTTCCTATCTCTTTAAGAGCAAAATTTGCAAAATACAGAATTTTACATTTTTATCAACAATCCTTATAGATTATATATTGTTTTATATTCTAGTTCCAATAGATTAGATTTTAGATTTGACTGCTTTGTAGGTGGAAATTAAGGAGTTTCCAGATTTAAAAAAAATGTATAATAATAGAATACTTAATCCTGATTAAAAGCAACATTATAGAGGTTATAAAACTCTTTAAAAATTTCAGCTGTCCTAAATATATAGCAAAATAAAACTATGGAGTTCTATTCAACTAATCTTCATTGATGTACAATGAAATTTAACACAATTAAAGAAATCTTAAAATTAATAAATAACATATGAAATACATAATTTTTAAATTGTAAAGCAGCAACCTCTCTAAGTCTATGAAAACACTTAGATCAATAGGGGGCTTTGAAAAGACTGACTTGAGGCAAGCAAATCCCTGAGAAAGTTGCGCACTCTGAAGAGTGTCCCCCGACCTCCACTGCTCCTTCCCTCTTTGCATGATTAGGGCATGACGACAGCAGACTTCTTAGGATAGCACTGTTTTCTTTGTCTATAAAATGATTAAAACTCCCAACAAAATGAATGAGAGAAGCGGAGCAAATATGGAGAATATCATCAAGCCTGGGCAATATTTCTAAGAAATTAAAAGAATATTACAAGAATTAGTGTTTGGCTCTTAGCATTTCCAAATGAATCCCCACTCAAAATCCTTAAGGACTCTATTACTTAAAAACATACTAGAAAACAACTACAACAAAAAGGCCTTACTAATTTCAGACCGTAGTGTTAACTTCCCCCTTTCCCCCGGAGGACAGGCATTCACAAAGCTATTTCTTTGCGGCGTCACACCTTTCTTGTAATGGGTAGAGCATAAAATCCAAAAGACCGAATAATATGGTCCCTGGTGACTTTCTGAGACCTGATGACTATCATTCCTCTCTAGGCCTCTTATGCTCCAGTCATATTTATTTTATGATTCCCAAGTCCACCATGTTCTTACAAGCCTCTGTTCCTGTGGGCATATTAGAGTCTTGACCTAGATAGACTGTTCTTTTTCTTTCCTGGATCCAATTTCTGTGTGTGTGTTGGGGTGGGGGGGTGAGGGGGGGGCAGTTCCAAACTCCAACAAGCAATTTTGGTGTCCACCTGGGTGTCCTACAATTCAACTCAATCCTGACACTCTCTACCAGAGATGGCATCCCTTGCCACAAGACTTCTCCTGCACCCTTCACTTCAGACACCAGTCCCAAGCCCAGTTTGTTACCTATACGTCTGACTGCCTACCAATAAATCAGAGATTCCCAACACTCCTTCTTTAAGTTTTATTAACTTGTTAAAGCATCTCACAGAACTCAGAGAAATATTTACTTATTAGATTTAACTTGTATAGCTCAGGAACAGTCAGATGGAAGATGCATAGGCCAAAGTATAAGGAGAGAGTATGGAGTTTCCATGCCCTCTCCGGGCACACCACTTTCCCCACATCTGCACATGCTCCCTAACACAGAAGCTCTCTGAATGCAGTCTTTCCCCCCACAACCCTCAATGGAGGCTTCACTCATAGATAGGATTAATTCAACCTCCAGTCCCCTCCTCTCTACCTCTCCATGGTTGGTTCCTCAGGCAATAGGCCCCATCTTCAGTCCACTGTCATCTCATTAATATAAGGAAAGAAACCTTAAGGCTTTCAGCACTTAGCAAAGTCCAAGGATTTTACCAGCTCCTTATCCGAAATGGGGTGAAAACCAAATATATATTTTCTATTATAAATCATAATATCACAACTGTGAATCCCCTTTGGTCTGATTAATCAACTTCTATTCTTTCAAAATACTAGTCAAATGTTCCTTCCTCAGAAAATTCATGCTGACCGACAAGACAAATTTTGTCCCATGTTGCTTAGGATTCCCATGAAACAGTCTATATGTTTCCATTGGGTCTTTTTTCCACGTTTTAATGATGTACTCATGAAAATATCTCTCTAGTACACTGTGGAATATATGGGAGTACAGGTATTTTATCTTGTTACTTGGAGTAGCCTATCTAGTCTCTAATACAATAATACATGGCACCTGTTCAACCAAAGAATATTTGTTGAATGAATGAATTCCTCTAATAAGACACATCTGAGAACAGTAAATTATTTTGTCTACATCCTAAATCATGTGTTATGTACCTAAGTAGACATATTTCTGTGACCTTAAATAGTCAACTTGACCCACATCAAGGACAGCCAGGTCATTTGCTTGAAAAAGATTAAACACTGAAAACCATTGTTATAAATTCACTCTAATTTTAACCTACTCAGCAGCATTCAGTTATGAATGTATCATAAAGGCATATAGTAAATACAGGCAGGATCTCTTCTCAACAGAAAGTGCCTGGGCATCATTACCATCATATTTCCCCTGGAACTGAAGTACAAGTTTAAATGTGGGAGGCATAGCAATCATGAGCTTTTTAAAAGTCCACAGATGTGCACTTTAATGACACATTAAGAAGCTGTTATTTCCCATGTACGTTGGTAGGTTGCTTTTTTAAAAAAATAAGTACAACATAGGTTAACCATAAATTAAGGTGCTTAATTTTAGGTTGCAGAGTTATTTTTTGCTCAATCCTAAAAAAATTGAAACGATATTTAGGGAAAAAAATCCACAATGCTCATTTTTGAAGATTAATTGTCTTATAAACTATGTAATTTCTATTTAATTAAAGGTGAAATCATATCTGTCACAAACTATTCTTTATCTGGTCAATTTTACACAGGAAAGGATATACAGAGAATATTCAATAACAATAAATTGATTGTTTCCCTCTTCTATAGAAAAACTTATATACAAGCTCAGCAATTTATTTTATTATTGGAAGCAGAGAATAAAAACGTAGCAAGGGTTGTTTTTGTTCTTTTTTTATTGGTCTTATAGAAGTGTGTGTGGCTATTGCTTCAGGCTGAGCAACACCATCAGCAGCCATAGTGTTAATTAATCACGTGGAAGCATTCTATAGGCAAGGTGAGATACAGAAATAAAAACCCTACAGGAACATACACAATATGAAAAAATAGTACATGAAATGAGTGGCAAGCAGCATATAATCAGACTTTATCATATGCAGGTATATTGAGAATGTTGGAGATGACTAACTGATCTTTTGAATTACTAACATTAAATATAGCACAAAGGAATTAGGACAGTTTGCAAAGTTTCCATTATTGTGACACTTTCCCATTACCCTGAATGTTTCAAAAAATGCCAGCAACAATTATTTGCACAAAATTCTAAATAATAGAGTGCCAGAAAAAGAAAATAAAAATGTTGGGCACCTCCCACGTATGCACAATAATTAAACATTGAACTAATTTCCTAAAAACAAGTATTTCTTTGCTACTCATATTTCAGATGAATTTAGGTAGCTAAAAAGTCCTTCATGATAGCTTGAGTTTTTATGCCCAGTTATATAACCTTACACTGCTAAGGGAAAAAAAATAAAACACCAAATACCTTGTAGAAAACTTACTGGTGTATCACTTTAGACTTTGCTGATGGACTAGGATAACTTATTGGACAGATGTAGCAAAAGTTATTAGATGCTCTACCTCCAATTTATTTTTTTCTCAACTGTAGATGCACTTGGACTTAACAATTACATCATTTTTAAAATGAGAGTTAAAATAAAAAAAAACTTTATTATAGAATAAGCACATTTAGAATATTGCATGCTTTGAAGAACGATTGAAGACTTGTCTTTATTAATATTTTTAGAATGTGAGTTAACATTTGATGTGGGGTGAGTGGTGGGATGTTCTGGTGTTACGGAAAATCCTAAAGTGCATTATTTTAAGGGCAAAGAATTGCTAACTGCTAGCAATCTCTATCAATCACTTTACAGCTATTCTGAAATGCAAAGGGTGATTTTTTTATGTTGAAAATAGTAATAAGCAGGGAAACATATTGATTTCGAATAAAAGATATTTCATTTGTTGCAAACTTCTCTGAGTAACTCCAACTTTGGTCACTGTAGCAAGTATTAACACAATGAGATTTGAAATGCCTTAAGTTTTTTTTTTTTCTCTGATTCTTTTCTTAATTTTTTTAGTTTTCCACAATTAGAGCTAGAATTAGTCTCAGGAAAAGTAGAAAAGAAACAAAATCCAGCCAAAGCAGGAACTTATTTTTTTCTAAAGATACTGAGTTTTAAGACAAAAGAGGCTGAGTTTCATAAATTGGCAAGATTAAAGGTTAGCTACCGATTGTATATGAGTTCAGAGAGTTAAGACAATTGATTAAACTTTTTCAGTTGAAGGTGACATATATTATGTTAATTTCAGGTATACAACATAGTGATTAGACATTTATATACCTTACAAAGTGATCACCCTGATAAGTGTCGTACTTATCTGATACTATACATAGGTATTATAATATTATTGACTATATTCCCTATGCTGTACTTTTGAAGCATAGTAACCTCCATCTTGGGTAAAAACTGCTGTTTAAAATTTTAACCCTGCTATTCTGGCTTCTGCAAAATTTGTTTTTGTAAATAATAGGGAAAATAAGACTACTCCCCACTCCAGAGAGGCCATAAACTATGCCCCAGACAGAGTTGTCAGTGCTGGTACCAGGTCAGGCCTTCAGATATGTTCTCACGGCCCTGTCCCAGCAAACAGGACTTTTTCTCAGAAGGTCTGGAAGTCTCATTCCAAATTTGGAAAACAAAAAGCTGAAAAACATATAAATTGAAAAGACTTCCACCATATTGGGGCCCAGAATTTGAGAAGCAAGAGTTCCTCTGGGCCCACTAGTGCTAGCAAAAATGAACAGGACTCC